CTACCATTTCAATCAAAGGGCCATCTGAAGGCATGCCGCCAGCAGAGAGTCCTCTAAAACCTGCCATCTCAATCAAAGAGCCACCTGAAGGTATACCACCAGCAGAGAGTCCTCCAAAACTTACAATTTCAATCAAAGAGCCACCTGAAAGCATGCCGCCAGCAGAGAGTCCTCCAAAACTTACCATCTCAATCAAAGAGCCACCTGAAGGTGTACTACCAGCAGAGAGTCCTCCAAAACCTACCATCTCAATCAAAGAGCCACCTGAAGGCATGCCGCCAGCAGAGAGTCCTCCAAAACCTACCATCTCAATTAAAGAGCCACCTGAAGGTATACCACCAGCAGAGAGTCCTCCAAAACCTACCATCTCAATTAAAGAGCCACCTGAAGGTATACCACCAGCAGAGAGTCCTCCAAAACCTACCATCTCAATCAAAGAGCCACCTGAAGGCATGCCGCCAGCAGAGAGTCCTCCAAAACCCAGTGTATCTATCAGGGAGCCACCTGAAGGCATGCCGCCCACAGTGTCCTCCAAAATTTAGCATACCAATAAGAGTCACCAAACTCGACTTCCCCTGAAGATGGTCACCCCAAATCAACATTCTCGTGATCAAATGATAATAAAAGCTTAACCTTGAGGAAAAATGTCTTCCAAAACTATATCTATTAAGGGACCCTCAAACTTCATGACCACCATTCTATTTTGGATCCACAAAATGTTCTTTTTCTATCTGATTGTTTTCTAAAGCCTGCTTCTTTCAGTAAGGAGGGTTCAATAGCAGAACATGAGTGTCAGAAGGTTTGGTTGTTTGTTTGTTTGTTTTTTTAAAAAGCAAATATTAAGTTATGTCCTTTGAGTTAATTGCATCATGCTTGCCAGAGATTAGTATTATAAAGCCTAAACATTTTCTGTTATGAATCCATTATCACATCTGCTCCTGCAGATAAAAATGTTTTCTGTATTAAGAGGAACACACACACACACACTTAATTTACATAGAAATCCCATAATATTGTGTAACTTCACTATAAAAACTTGTTAAAGGATGCAATATGCAGTCTCTTCAATTAAAACAAAGTAAGGCCCCTCACTGACCCATATGAGCAAATATTATCAGAACTTGGAACAGTTAGAATCATAGAATCAAAGAGTTGGAAGAGACCTCATGGGCCATCCAGTCCAACCCCCTGCCAAGAAGCAGGAATATTGCATTTAAATCACCCCTGACAGATGACCATCCAGCCTCTGTTTAAAAGCTTCCAAAGAAGGAGCCTCCACCACACTCTGGGGCAGAGAGTTCCACTGCACAACGGCGCTCACAGTCAGGAAGTTCTTCCTAATGTTCAGATGGAATCTCCTCTCTTGTAGTTTGAAACCATTATCCATTGTGTCCTAGTCTCCAAGGAAGCAGAAAACAAGCTTGCTCCCTCCTCCCTGTGGCTTCCTCTCACATATTTATACATGGCTATCATATCTCCTCTCAGCCTTCTCTTCTTCAGGCTAAACATGCCGAGCTCCTTAAGCCGCTCCTCATAGGGCTTGTTCTCCAGACCCTTGATCCTTTTAATCTTACCCTCTCGGGACACATTCCAGCTTGTCAATATCTCTCTTCAATTGTGGTGCCCAGAATTGGATGCAATATTCCAGGTGTGGTCTAACCAAAGAGGAATAGAGGGGTAGCATTACTTCCCTAGATCTAGACACTATGCTCCTATTGATGCAGGCCAAAATCCCATTGGCTTTTTTTGCTGCCACATCACATTGTTGGCTCATGTTTAACTTGTTGTCCACGAGGACTCCAAGATCTTTTTCACACGTACTGCTCTCGAGCCAGGCATTGTCCCCCATTCTATATCTTTGCATTTCGTTTTTCCTGCCAAAGTGGAGTATCTTGCATTTGTCACTGTTGAACTTCATTTTGTTAGTATTGGCCCATCTCTCTAATCTGTCAAGATCGTTTTGAATCCTGCTCCTGTCCTCTGTTGGTGATACTACCTTGTTTTTATATTGCTATTTGTAAGTAACAAATGGTGTAATGTCTAAACATATTGTTGCCCATAATAGAAATATTACTCAAAATATCAACTCAAAACACCTGGGTCAACTTATCCATGGGTAGACACTTATCAAAAAGGGAAACATTCCCTTTCTCAGAGCACTGTGGTGAAAGATGAGAACAAAATCCATCTTTGGAGAACTTAATAGACGCACTGGCTCCCTCTACACTTTTCACTACATTGATGCTTCACTACGTTTTTTGAATGCCTACCTAGGTGAAAAACGGGGTTGGTCAGGGGTATGTGCCCCCCACCTCCCCAGCACTTTTCCCTCTCCATGGGTTGGCCCTCAGCTTATCCACAGGTCAAATAAAAATCCACAAAATCCCAACGCTTACCCTCGATTTATACATGAGATTTACTTATGTATAAATTGAACACATATGGTTGTCTATAGCCAATCCCTTCCCAAGTGCCCCAAAAGTAACATTTGGTCAAAGGTAAACCATAATAATTGAAACACTTTTGCACAATATGTTAATATTCATAGCAGCCTCGCTGAAATGGATTAAAGTATTTTCATTTTTTAAAGCAACTAGCAATGTGTTTACTTTTAGCACACTATTTCAAGCTCTGGAAATATTAATATCGACAACGACCCTCAAATAAACTTGCAAACTTTTGTTGTTTGTGTGTATGCAAACAAGTAGAGTACTGCAGCAGAGAAATGTTACTGCAGATATACTCATGCCTCCATTTCATGGATAAACCTCCAAGGGAACTTACGTGAACATGTCTAAAATGTTGTAAACTACCTTGGGCCCAATGCTGGAAAAACACCAGGATAGCATAGGGATGATAGAATGAGATCCTCAAGGTCATACACTGCCTTGTTTGGGTCATGCAAACTTGGGATTCTGGCTTCCTTGACTGAATCAATACATTTATAGTGTGGTCACCTATGTTTTCCTGCTACCCTCCACTTTACCAACAATTATCAACTTTTCCAGTGAGTCACATCATTTCATAGGTCCAAAGTGTGATAGCCTCTATTTTTGCAGTCCTAGCATTTTAAAATTATGTAAATTTTGTTGTCCTCTGTTGTTGTCCTCTGTTCCACTGCAATCCCATGCTGATCTTCTGGCTTGGCTGCTGGTTTTGAAAACCCCAGCATGGGAATCTGCTTACCATGCCTTCCAAGTAGACTTTGGCTCCATCGAGTGGTAGGTTTATGGAATAGGTCTTTGGTACGATGGAACAATCTTGAACTTCTATTTCAAGTCATATATTTTCCAAGGGAGAACTGACAAAAACACCCATGATATCTCTTACCTGCAAAAAATGTGCAAAATTCTTGGGGTTGCCGTAAGTCAGCAGGCAACTTGAAGGACCACCACATACTAAGTTCACTTCAGAACAGAGTCTCATATCACAAGTTGCCCAAGTACATAGACTGCAATGTATTGTTGAAGGCTTTCATAGCCGGAATCACTGGAGTGTTGTGTGGTTTCCAGGCTGTATGGCCTTGTTCTAGCAGCATTTTCTCCTGATGTTTTGCCCACATCTGTGACTGCCAGTCGCAGATGCAAGCAAAACATCAGGAGAAAATGCTGCTAGAACACTGCCATACAGCCTAGAAACCACACAACCCTCCATAGACTGCAATATTTCACAGGTGAAAACTGGGACACATCAAGTCATGCAACCTCAGAGTGTGGTCAAATTGGCAAAAACTACTACTGCTGGAGAACAAATACGCCAGGAGAGTTTTCATCAATTTCCTTTTGCCCTAACGTACTACAAAAGGGCAAGACTCTATATACATCTTCCTCTCCCTCCCACGGAGTTAATACTGAAAATTACTTTGGCATTTTGAACTGAATTTGCAGAAATTATAAAGAATGAGGAAAAAGGGAGAAAGTGGGAGAAAGAAAGAAAAATGGGATGTCTTTTTTTAAAAAATTGAAAAAAAGGGACATCAGAGGTTTAATCAGGACTGACTTGCTAATTCAAAACTGTTGAGAGTATGCAAGTTTTATGTAGTATTCCTCTGTGTAGAAGATTAGAGGAGCAATAGTATGCATACATGATTTATGTTTAGGTGTTAGCACTGGCATTCAGGCCCAAAGCCTGAATTCAGGCTGGGGGATATATTTTTAGCAAGTCGTGAAGAGTAGGTCCATAACACACACACAAAATTAAATTGTATGACTCATTCTATATTTTATAGACTTAATTAAATCAATTTTCTATGTTAGCTACAAAGTTTCAAGTCTCAAAATAACTGAAAATGACTAATTGTTTTTTGTCATGTCAGGAGTGACTTGAGAAACTGCAAGTCGCTTCTGTGTGAGAGAATTGGCCGTCTGCAAAGGTGTTGCCCAGGAGACGCCTGGATGATTTGGTGTTTTTATCATCCTTGTGGGAGGCTTCTCTCGTGTCCCCGCATGAGGAGCTGGAGCTGATAGAGGGAGCTCATCCGCCTCTCCCCGGATTCGAACCTGTGACCTGTCGGTCTTCAGTCCTGCCGGCACAGGGGTTTAACCCACTGCGCCACCGGGGGCTCTTCTTAATTGGTAACTTAGTGGTTATAAAAGAATACCATAACACTTGTTGGAAACACTCGAAAACTGTCAATTCACTTTGACAGAAATCAGACTCCATCGATAAACTTCCGAGGACACTCAGGAATGCAAGTCCAGTCAGTCTTTCTTGCCCCGTTGTACTTAAGTAAGTTTTCAAACATTTCAGAGTTTTAAATGATCTTTCATTTGTAGCGGTTGACACTGGCAATATTGCAAATATCTGAAGGAGTTTCTTTGCATTTGGAAAGACTCTAACTTAGTGGTTCTCAACCTGTGGTTCTCAACCTACAACTTCCAGAAATCCCAGCCAGTTTACCAACTGTTACAATTTTTCGGGAATTGAAGGCCAAAACATCTGGGGACCCACAGGTTGAGAACCACTGCTCTAACTGGAAGAAACAGACAGAAACCAAAACAGACCTTGCTCATTGAAATTTTAATACATTAAAAAAATAGAGACCAGTTCTGTTTCAATAATTATTTGAGAAATAAGCTAACACTTTCCCTCTGAGGGGAAAAAGGGAGGAAGGGGAGGAAAAGGTGATTGTGAGAGGAGTGAAGGAAAGACTCAGGGGCACTGAATGCTTGCTGCTGCTGTCACCAGTCACACTGAAGGCTGAAGTTAGCAAGTGACATACAGCTATGGCTTCTGTTGAACTTCCCTGAACAGGACATGCTGGAATGTCTCAGCATATACAATTATGCCAGTTGGCCACCTCCCCACATAAGCAACATCCATCCCATCTTCCTCGCTCCCCAAAATTTCCTGGTCCTTAAAAAGAATTAACTGTACTAACTCAGCAACCCCACAGTTACAGAAAATGCAAGCTCAAGGCAAACAATTCAAGTGGTAAATGAATTATGCGGAAGGAAGAAGCAAAGTCTCTACCAGCAGGATTATTCTGGAAAAGGACATCCATCTCTTACACGTAGTGATTCTTAACCTGTGGATCCCCAGATGAGTTGGCCTTCAATTCCCAGAAATCCTAACAGCTGGTAAACTGACTGGGATTTCTGGGAGTTGTAGGCCAAAACACCTGGGGACCCACAGGTTGAGAACGACTGTCTTGCGATCTATCCTTTCCATGCCTGGCGCTGATATCTACAGTCCTCAAAATGACCAGAACAATGCAAAGGTTTGACAGGGTAGTCCAAGCAAGTGTAAGCAACAGAGAGGGAGGTCTGCCCCAGTGCATCAGCTGCCTTCCGCACTCCCACTGTATTGACTTGTAGTATTACTTTGCCAAGGCTTAGAAGTGCTGAGAACTGACAATGAGCCTTAACTGTTGAGAAGTGTCATGGTACACACTGCAACAAATGACGAGCAAATGGCTGAAGCAAGACAGGTATCTAGTCTTTGAAACAGAGCTTTTCTCGCTCCATGTCAAAATGAAGAAGCAGAGCTTACCAGGAGTGAACGAGTGAAAGCGAGACAGAAGACAACAAGAGAACATGATGTTCTGTGGCAAGCTATTGAACAACAACAAGAAGAAGAAGGAAAAAAATAAAGTTATTTACGGCAAGGAACGATCCTTCCAGATAACCAAGCCTTTTCCAGTGTTAAAATAAAACTTTCCAGTGTCCAACAGGGACAAGTCACAGGACTCCAAATCCACCACTTGGTTCTCAGCAGGCACCGCTCCCTGATGGCCAAGGGTTGAGCCGGCACTGAGGGCAGCAGCCTGAGTACACAAGAACATCACAGGCCTCAGATCGTTCGCCAGCGTGCCAGCCTGCTGGCCAGCCTGAGCACAGTCGATAGGCCTCCAAGTCACAGATAAGCTCCACCACCTCGTCCACAGTGGTGAGGCGGGCAGGGTGGCTGGCATAGAGTTCGTGCTCGGGGGGTACAGGCAAGTTTCCCACCACCACTTGGAAGTAGAGGCCTGGGCGGATGTAGATGACGGCTGCTGACATGGTGGAGTGTTTGGACCGCTGTACAAGCCGCAGGTTGGGGCCAAGTGGAGGCAGCGCCTCCCAGTGAGCAGGGAGCGGAATCTCATTCAGCTCAGACAAGAACTCGCGCAAGACGTTGTCCAACTGGGCAAGAGGCTGCATGCCACCCAGGCTGTAGATCTCCATTATCTGAGGGAGGAGAAACAAAAGGTAAAAGTAAAGGTTTCCCCTGACATTAAGTCTAGTTGGGTTTGACCCTGGGGGATGGTGCTCATCTCCATTACTAAGCTAAAGAGCTGGCATTGTCCACAGACACCTCCTAGGTCATGTGGCCAGCATGACTGCATGGAGTGCCATTATCTTCCCGCAGAAGCGGTACCTATTAATCTACTTATATTTGCATGTTTTCAAACTACTAGGTTGGCAGAAGCTAGGACAGTGAGAGCTCACACCGCTCCCAGGATTCAAATTGCCAGTCTTTCAATCAGCAAGTTTGGCAACTCAGCAGTTTAACCCACTGCATCACCAGGGGTCAGCTAGCATTAATGCCCTCCCTTTCACCCTTCATAACATGCTAACAACTTGGCTGGAATGACCTGAGAAGTGCTATTTAAGTGTTTCTTCTTTTGCTGTCTGGCGCAAAAAGTGGACCCTGAAGGGAAAAGGAGGCAGACACATACACGTAACACCAGAAGGGGCTCTCCTTGTGTCCTATCAGTCAGGGAAATACACTGTGGGAGAGTATGGAAGAGGGTTTTCTCTGCTGGGGCATCCCAGTTATAGACTACCCCCCCTTAAGTTTTTAATTTCCAATTTCTTGGAAATCTTGCATGATTCCAACTTCTTCTACGGCTGGGTGTATTTAATACTATTTTAAAATGTTTTTGTATTAGTTACTAAAAATTCTGAATTCATAAAATAACCAATCCACCTAAACTGAGATTATGCTTTAGTAGATAGGCTGACTTATATGGGGTGGCGGGGTGTCTCCTGATGCTGCTGGAAGTATGAAGTTTTTGGTCAGAGGTAAAAGCAAGAAAATAGATCTCTGTGTCCCATACAAAAAGAGATTTATGCATACATACTTCACTTACTGGATGCTGACCAATATCAGCAAAACATCAGCTTTACCACTCACCACTGGGGGTCGCATTTGCTGTAGCTGCTCCACTTCATCATCTTCATCATCATCCAGAACCACCACTTCTGTGACTTGTGTTCCCTGCGGTCGCTTAAACTGGGGGAGACCAGCTGATACCTGCAATGGCAAATAGAGAGAGTAGGCACAAGTTTGGTAGGAGGAAGAAAAAGAGCTAGGGAGGAAGTTTCAGAGAAATCTGTAATGCCTTCACCAGAACCTGAATAGGAGGCGTTTGTGATGGTGTAAACCTCTCCTTTAGTCAGACTTTTCCACAGCATACTGAACATTTCAGCACATTTACACCTATATTAAAATCACTCAAATTGTGAAGATCGCTTCCAAAATATCCCAAATTTAAAAAATGCAAAATGTGTTGTAGATGGCAGCAGATTGTTGGCTAGAAGTATTACGTACATTTTTTTTCGTTTCAGGAGCAACTTGAGAAACAGCAAGTCGCTTCTGGTGTGAGAGAATTGGCTGTCTGTAAGGATATTGCCCAGGGACACCCAAATGTTTTACCATCCTGTGGGAGGCTTTCTCTCATGTCTCCCACATGGGAAGCTGGAGCTGACAGACGGGAGGTCACCCCACTCCCAGGATTCAAACCACTGACCTTTTGGTCAGCAGTCCTGCCAGCACAAGAGTTAAACCCATTGTGTTTCTGTACAGATCAAAACTATCAAAATGTGTGAAATCACTTTGGTACAGCTCTTGGAAAACTGCCTATTATAGCAAAAGAATGCCTATCTTCAGCACTTTTTTCTTGTAAAATTTGTTCTGATAGGTTTTGGAAACAAGCTTAGCCATTAGTTTCCAGACAAAGTGTTGGTTATTACTATTAAAGCCTTATATGGTTTGGGTCCAGTTTACATGCAGGATCACCTTCTCCCATACAGTTCACCCCTTACACTAAGATCATTGAGACACATTTACTCCAATCAGGCAACATGCTACATGGCAGGGGAGTTGGACTAGGTAGCCCTTGTAATAATAATAATAATAATAATAATAATAATAATAATAATAATAATATAATAATAATAAACTTTATTTATACCCCGCTACCATCTCCCCAAGGGACTCGGTGCAGCTTACATGAGGCCGAGCCCACAATACATCAATACAAGCAATAACAACAACAGTAAAACAATTAAATAAAATCAAAACAAAAAAGCAATATACAATGACACTTGTGGTCTTTTTTCCAGCACGAAGAGTCTATGAAATGATTATCACCATGACTTACTCAGTTTAACACAGGGTGTGTTATTTGTGTGTGTGTGTGTGCACATATTAACATTTCAATCTTGTTTTGAAGAAAAACAGTCTTTTTCTAAGAAGAGGCATTCAAGAAGCAAAACAAACAGGAGCAAAAAGAGAATGAAAGATGTACCCTGATTTGTACCTTACCGGAGAGTCATTGGATGGCTGACGGTCTCCACCTGGTTCTACATGTTCCTGTTTAATTTTGGGGGAGGTGGCTATGAGGAGATTGACAGCAGGTAATCTAGTCTCTGATTCCTATGGAGACAAAGAACTTCCTTAGATCCTTTAGATGTTTTCTGGCATGCACGTGGTGAACCACTGTTCCTATTGCTCCAGTCCAATTGGGATGCATTCGTTATATTTTTTCTGACATTTCTATGCTGTTTTTTATTTTGTTAAAAAATATCCAAAGTGATTCACAATCAAAACTTAACTGTAATTAGATAGAAAAAAGGTTAAAGCAACACAAGCAATACATTTCATCATGCCATTCATTGATAAACTACCAGAAACAATGACAGAAAGAAGAGGAAAATGCCCAAACAGACCAATCTCTGGTTGACAGTTATTCTGGTAATATGTTTGCATATTAGTATATTTTAAATTGTATGCTAATGCTTTTATGTTAAGCCGCTTTTCAGTCTCCTTCAGGAGAGATAAAGTGGGATATTATTATTATTATTATTATTATTATTATTATTATTAATAATTCCCCAGTGTAATGAGTTTTTGGGAGGAAATATCAGAAGAACTTTGTACAAGTTGGATTCAGATATCTCTCAATTGCTCCAACATGCTGACTCCTTTTACTATTTTCTCCCGAAGCCTATACAGTAGTGGCCTTGGCAAAACCTGAACTTAATTTTGGGGCTCTAATTTAGGCTTATCTTTTGTGTGCTGCTGCTATGACCTTGGAAGGGCAGTGTAGAAGATGAATCACTGGTAGTTAACCAGCTGTGATTCATCTTTGTCCAGTAAAATGGAAACATAGTGATTTAGGGATTAGAGTAGCTACTGTGAATTATCTTATTAAGTCAGAACAGGTGCAAGTAATTAGAAGCAGACTTCCAACAGAGCCTAAATAGGATAGATCAAAGGAGAAGAAATATATATATGGTCCAGAGAAGAACCATAGTGCAATTAGATTATTTATATCTAATTGCACTATGGTTATTATATGTTTTTAATGCTTTTTGTATTGTTTTGATTTTTATATTGATTTTATAATGCTGTTTTAAATGTTTTAATTGTATATTGTGGGTTGTTATGGCATCAAATTGCTGCCAAATTGTAAGCTGCCTTGAGTCACCTTCGGGCTTGTGAAAGGTGCAATAGAAATATTGTAAATAAATAATAAATAAATAATAGATTAACTGGAACTATGAGCAACGAGTACTTGAATGACCAGGATTACGACTGCGGATTGCGTGGTTTTATACTGATAGTAATGTTTTATAATGTTTTAATGTATTTAATTTTGATTTAATTTTAATTTTAATGCATTTTAATTGTGCATTGTTGTGAATGCATTGAATTAAGCTGCCCTGAATCCCCTCCAGGGTAGAGGAAGGTGGGATATAAATAAATAAATACATGAAGGAGCTCAAACTCTAAGATTTTGCCTCACTAGGGTCGTGAGTGAAAACCCGAGGTTGCTCTTGATCCATCATGCCTAGGACCAGAAGCACAACAAAGGTCCTCCTTTCCTCCCAGGTGTCTCAGCCCTGGGAAGAAAGGGAGAGAAGAAGAGGCAGTATCTTCTGGACTTAGTCTCCTGCCTTCCTCCATTGCCACCCCACTTTCCTTATGTGCCATGCATTATTTAGATGGTTAGTCTGAGGTTGGTAACTGTCAAATTAAGAAATTGGAAGTCAAGCTGAGAGCTTTTGTGATTAAAGATGCAATCAGTCTGTCAATTTTATGAAGATTTTTACTGTTTTGTAAAAGAAAGAACAGACACAAGAATCCAGGTTTGTCAGGGATGAGCATCTGTCCTTTGTCACTTTTTTCCAAGGTTAATCACTCCTATTACACTGTGTAGCATATATATATATTCTCTCTCCTGTTCTCAAAGTGTTATTTCCTGTTTAATTGTGCGGTACTTACTTTGAAAGTTGTTGTTATACTCCAGAGACTTCGTTGTTGTGGCTGCTACAAACTATGTTGAATTGGTTGAGACTCTAGGAGATATTCATTGAGAAACTATAGCAAAATATGCTGCAGGATGTCCCATAAAAACAAAGTTTTTGTAGTTAAACAAACCTTTCCCTTTTTTTTTTAGAATCAACTAAGAAATGATAGTTATAAGCCAGGAAGGAAAATCATGTTCCATAGTGTTATTCATTTATGAGCTTCTTAAAGTGTGGTCTACAGCAGTCCATTTAAAAAAGCATTCAGGCAATCAGAAACATCCGGCCTCTTTTTATTATTGCTGTTTTAAAACCTTTTTTGTCCAATTATGTTTTAAATGTTGCTACATTTTTTTGTCTTTGAAGTGGTATTATATGTAATTTTTCAATCATATTTTTATTAAATTTCCATAATATCTATAATATCACAGTATAGCAACAAATGGGAATCCTACAACCCTGCCCTATTCCTTCCATCCATCCTTCCTCCTGTTTATAAACATCTTCCTGTTTATAAACATCTTCCCTGTCAGTCCTCTTACTGATATATTATTCTATTTTTATTGTATTAATAATAGTCATATATTCCCCTAGTCATTTACTCAAAATCTCACTTGATTTGGTTTACATTTCCTATCTGATTTGTGTGACTACCTATTGACTAAAAACACAGGAAGAAAAATAATTCCCATTTAAAGAATGAACTGCCAATGTATGCCATCAGCATAAGGCATCAAGAACTGGGCACATCAAGGGTGACAAATGGGGAGGACTCCCTCTCGCTCACCTTCACCACAAGCTGAGCAGGTGGGCTGGGCTGGCAAGGTGCCACTGGCTCCTCTTTGATACACTGTGGCAGGACAAGATGGCCCTTCGCAGGGGCCTGGGTTACAGTAAAGCCACCCGCCTCTGGGTCATTCTTCAGCCTTAGTGGGAGAACCTGCTCCTCCTGCTGGTGCTGGTCCTGCTGCTTTTGCTGTGCTTTCTCCAGGCTACACGACTTTGGAGGGTGAGTCAGTTCACTGGTTGAGGAAGCTTCCTGTATTAATATATTGAGGTCAGGGGAGAAGATAGGAATGATCAGATTACAAATGTATGAAGCTACCTGCATAGTCCAGTCTGCTGTGACCTGCAGTGATTTGATTTAAGGCAGTGGTTCCCAACCTTTGGGCCTCCAGTTGTTTTGAACTTCAACTCCCAGAAATCCCAGCCAACTTACCAGCTGTTGGGAACTGTGGGAGCTGAAGTCCAAAACACCTGGAGGCCCAAAGGTTGGGAACCACTGCTTTAAGGCCACAAGCAAAATGGTGTCCAGCCAAGTGTGGCCTCAACTTCTGAACCACAGATTAAAAATCATTGTTTCTCAGCATCCATAGCCAAGCACAGAGTATTGCTCAACCTTCCTTCATTTGAGACTTATGCCTGCGTGGCACTTCCTTGTGATTCTAGTTTTGATGTACAAAGGTGGTCCAGTAGCTTAGAAAACTCCATGCAAACATCTCTTTATTTGGGATGATGGGGGAAAAGTCTTTTGTTTCTTTGGCTAACAAAAAGTAGGGACCTTCAGGCAAAAAGCTGTAGAACAGAGTACAGTCAGCCTTCCACATTTGACTTTTGCATATTTGATTATTCACAAATTTGGCTAAAATATTTTCTCTCTTGAAATCTCTATGTCCTTCAGTGCAAATCTATGGGGTTTTTTTCCATGTCAGGCACACCTTGAGAAACTGCAAGTTGCTTCTGGTGTCAGAGAATTGGCCATCTGCAAAGATGTTACCCAGGGGACGCCTGGATGTTTGATGTTTTGATGTCCTTGTGGGAAGTTCTCTCATGTCCCTGCATGGGGAGCTGAAGTGGACAGAGGAAGCTCAACCCGCTCTCCCCAGATTTGAACCGTTGACCTGTCGGTCAGCAGTCCTCCCAGCACAAGTGCGCCACTGGGATTATCTTCCACTAGAGACTGGCCTCATGCTGGAGAACCTAGGTATTCCTAGAAAGATTTTTTTCTGAAATAAAATAACCTGCAAAAACTCAGAACCTTTGTGGGAATTCCATGCCCCTAAAGCAATCAAATATGGACATCTGAGTGTAGTTAGATTTTAGACTCCATCTCCCAGTATCTCTCAAGTAGCACATCTAGTATCTATGCTAGCTGGGTGATTCCATGAGTTATCATCCTGAAAGTATATTTTTCAAGTTCTGGACAGCTTGCTTCTCTCATGTCAAACACTACAACACAAGCAGCACATTTAATAAACTGTTCATGTTTCACAGATGTAAGAGGAACTGGACAAAACAAACGGAAAGTTCTTAGCTAGGATGACAATGATGGATCGAGATGTCAAGGATAGCCATTTCCATTCACAGATCCTCATGTGCTATCCTGTGCTTTTTTGGATTCTACATAAAATACTTCTTCTCCAGGCATGTGATCTTATTCCTCATGCCATAATCTATTGATTTCAATAAAAATTGGTCACAACAATCTGTATTCAGCACCTGCAAGGAAATGGAAAAGAGTATTCGACATCTTCCTCAACCTGAGCCTCCCTTATCCAGAAATCAAAACTCTAAAAATGTCCCCAAACAGCCTGCTACCGAGAGGACAGAGTTAAGGATCAAGCCCAAGTTCAGTCAATATGATAAGCAGACTTCAATGCAATTTGGGGGGGAAATTGCCAAAATTATTCTCAAAGCTATGCCAAGAAGAGAAGGTATAGTGTGGTTTGGGAACTCATGATTTAGTGAGGCTCCTCCTTTCTCATTCACCTGTCACAAAGTCAGGTTGATATCCATGTGACATGGCTGACATACAACTTGTTAGCATTTGGCAAGGCAGCTGAATAGTTTGCAACAACACAAATAATTGTAATCAAACTATGTCTTCCAATTATAAAACTCACATTACTGGAAGATATTTTCTTTGAGCTGTCCCACACATAATAATAATAATAATAATAATAATAATAATAATAATAATAATAATAATAATAGTTTTATGACCCACCTCTCTTTGTGGCTCAAATGGCTTCCATCTCTTTAACCTTCATTGTTTTTTAACTGGCTGATTTCAGTATCTTCCTGACATCTTAGATTTAATAGCTCCCTACCAAAGTAGTGGGAGAAATTGATGATTCAGTGTAATGTTACCCGAAAACCATCAGCCTCTTCTTGATGGGAAGCTTCCCATTGGCGTGGAAATCATATTTCAGACAGATAGCAAGCTCATTAACCTCAACAGGCTGAAAGCCAAAAGTAAGGTCACAACAACTTCTGTTATAGAACTCCTGTATGTTGATGATAATGTAGTCTGTGCTCTTTCACAGAAACATATGAAACGCTTGGCCTTTCACTTCCCAAAAAAACTAAGGCGTTCTACCAGCAGGCACCAACCAATCCCTCTGCAATGCCAGAAATAAAGCTTAACAGTGTAATGCTACAAAATGTTGACCATTTCCATTACCTTGGCAGCCATCTCTCCGCAAAAGTTAACATCGATGCTTAAATACAGCTCTTGGCCAGCTCTTGTACTTTTTTCTTATCTCCCTTGTTCCTTTTCTTTATCTCTGATCCTTCTCCCGAAGTCTCCCCTTTAATTTTAACACCACCGGATTATGATCTGCAAACACCTAGGTAAGTATTCCACCTTTTCAGTTTTAATTACCAACTCCTTTGTTGCAAAGATGTAGTCAATCCTGGAAGATAATCCATACCTACGAAAGTAATATGAGTATTCTCTTATCTAAATTATGTACCCTCCATAAATAATATAATTCCCAGTGTTTTGATTCTCACCTCCTTGGTGTCCTTTTTTTTTTTATAATTTCTATCTAATTTTGTGTCCATTAAAGTCTCCCAACCTGATCATTTTCTTCTCCCCAATTTCTGCCAGTATAGTGAATAGTTTTTTGAAAAAGATTTTTTGTTTTGTAGTAGAAGCATAAATCCCTACTAGGAAAATTTGCTTGTACTGACACCTCACTTTAACAAGTAATATTCTACCCTCTTGATCTTCACATATTTTCTCTAGTTCTAAATATTGGTGAAGTACATCGTGTGCAGGAGAGGCACCCCAGCACGTGAAAGCAAGAAGGGATGCAGCAGTTACCTCTGGCTGGAAGCTGGCTTTTGCCCGATGCTTCTGGCCACTCCCCTTCATGCCCCGCTGCCCCACCTGCTTGATCCCTGTTGGCTTGTGGCTGTGGCCACCGAAGGCAATCCTTTTCCTCCTCCTCCTCCTGACTTTCCAGCCTGCTGCTGCTGGCCCCACCGCCTCTGGGCTGCTCCACTCTTCAGGAAGCAGCCGCTTCTAGGGAAGGGAAAAGAAGAGGGAAACACAAGCGAGTTGTGCAGGGAGTCGTGGAGGCGGCAAGCAGCAGAGGCAGAAATAGGAACCCCAGGCTCAAAGCAAGCAGCAATGCAATTGGACCATCCCTTCCTGCCACTACAACCACACTTCAAACCTTGCCCTCCTGTGTCAACCCAAGCTTACCATCTACTGATCCACACCCCCCCAGCACCAAGCGCATCCAAAGCATTCCAGAACAGCCCAAAGCAGAGTTTCCCTTAAACTCCCACAAGAAGCTGCAAGGCTCAGACACAGGCATAGCTAGGACCAAAAAAGAAGTTGAGGATAGCAGGTCAAAATGAGAGGTCTTGGGATATCTAGGTTTCACAAGAGAGATAGTGACCTTATCAAATGAGCCACCAGAATCACCATGCCTCATCCGGCTTCCCCCTTACCTGATCACACAGGGGGAAGCGTCCACTTCCCAGATTTCCCCCATTGATCCCTATGCAACTCGGGAAGCCTCCCATGTTGCCACCATGACAGTATGCTCCAGTTCCTCTCCATTTGCGCAATGGAGCCCCACCAGAAGTAGCCCTACATCATGGTATGGGAGCCGGTGCACCAAATACAGCCATATGATGAGACTAAATAATCAGCAAGCAGAACTGCAGGATAAAAAAAAGCTGCTGTTGGTTATTTGAAATTACAAGTTGCCCCTCTCACTGTTAGGAAGTTTCTCTCCAGGTTTAGAAGAAATCTGCTTTCCATCTGGCCAGTTTTACTCCTATCTTCTGGAGCAACATTGAACAAACTCTGTTCTACCACAGATATTTCAAAACCGCTACAATCATATATCTAATTCATTTTTTCTAGACTAGAATTCCAGATTTCAGCTATTCTTCACATAACTTAGTTTCTAGGCCTTGAGTGTGGGAGTTGTAGTTCACCTACATCCAGAGAGCACTGTGGACTCAAACAATGATGGATCTGGACCAAACTTGGCACAAGCACTCAATACGCCCAAATATGAACACAGATGGAGTTTGGGGAAAACAGACCTTGACATTTGGGAGTTGTAGTCACTGGGATTCACAGTTCACCTAAAATCAAAGAGCGTTCTGAACCCCACAAACGACAGAATCGGAGCAAACTTCCCAAACTGAACCCCCATGACCAACAGAAAATACTTAAGGCCATCCAATCCAACTCCCTTCATCAGGGCAAGAAAACGTAATCAAAGTCCTCCTGACAAAGAGCCATCAGGCCATAGATATAGATAGATAGATAGATAGATAGATAGATAGATAGATAGATAGATAGATAGATAATGATTCACACACAAATATAGTATCATAGATTTGAAAGGGACCTTTAAAGAAGGATAATGATATGTTGCATGTTCCAGGGTGGGCAAACCAGACAATCTCCACATCAACACTGACAAAGAAACAGCAAGAAATACTGTTTACCCACAAGCATAAAGAAATTACATACATTAGAAACCAACACTTTCTCATTACTTTATTTTCCAGACTGGGCTACAGCAACGCGTGGCAGGGGACAGCTAGTATATATATAGAAAGAACATATGGAGTCACTAGGCAGCTTAAACTGGTGGAATGTGCCCTCTCTCAGCTGATATACAATGATCAGGTGTGGGACACAAAAGAGATCTTTTGGGCCTCCCTGCTAAAGACTGTTTCTTATATACAGTACACTGGATGATGTGGTGAAAACCACCCTTAAGTGTGGGACCAACGAAGACACAAAAACAAAACCTAACTACTGAGGTTTCCACTAGTTCTGGATAAGCAGTCTTAACCTCAGCTGAACCCACAAACCTGATGAAGGGAGTTGAGATGTTATATTCCAAATCTTGCTTGCACTTTCCATAGGGAGTGGGATAAGGAAAGTGCTGAATGGCTCAATGTGTTGAAGTTCAGCCTTTGATTGTGCCTGCACCTGATCTCTCTGGAGTTTCTGGGTCTGTTAGTCAACCTGTTGACACAGAGGATTCTGGGTCTGTAAGTCTGCAGGAAAGTCAGAAGGAGCAGCTAGAGATTTTAGAGACTGAAAATGAGCCTCTGTCTGAAGGCCACATTCCAACAGAAGAGGTTGATAGTGAAAGTCCAGATGGTCAGACTAATCAGCAATTAGATAGAAGATTTTGGACATTGCAACACTGGGTTCTCCTGGCTTGGCTTTGGTGTATTGGCACATTAATTTATTATTAATGAATTTATTTGTTGAAACTGTATAATGTTTTAAATGGATTTTATTGTTTTACTTGTAATTTTATTGGTGTATATGTTGATAGCATAATCAGATGCTTATGTAAGGCTGCCCCGAGTCCCCTTGTGGGGAGAAGGGTGGGATAGAAATGTATGTAATAAAAAAATAAATTTATGTTTCGTCAACATAGACTCTCACATGAAAAAGTCAAAAGGTCCAGTCGCTTGTTAGCAAAGAAGTCTGTATCAGTTTCCCAAGGGAAAAGGCACACTTTTCTCTCTATATTAGCTAGGCCAAGGGTATCTTTGGTCAGTGGAAGCACCATTGGAAATTGAGGATAGAACTTCTATCAAGTCAAGGGATTTTCTAGCGCTATGTTCATGTTTTCCTGTTTGTTATTGTTTCATGTTTCCAAGAGTTGAGGACTGTCCTGGATTTCATGTTTTAGATTTATTCTGCTCCTGTATTCATGGTTTTTGGATGCTACTCGTGAAATTTGGTTTTTGTGGATTATCTCTGAGCTTTGGTCTTTGCTTTCTGATACTATGTTGCTGAATTACTTTTTATATATTCTTCAATAAACTATTTTACTATGGACTGGAGTGTGTGTTAAGTGTAGAGGTGCTTCCCAGCCTTGGAGTACAACACAAGGATCAGTGCCAGGTACAGAAGCAATACCACCAACCTAGCTAATTTACTCCCATTGCATTCTGCCTAGCTACTTTCCTGCAGTGAAAAGTACAGCTATTTTAGTCTAAGCGTGAGGAGGGAAATAAAGTGTACAGCCCAAAATAAACTACAGAGTGGTATATAAGAGGAACGATCCAAAACCAAAAGAGAGGACGTCACAGAACACATAAAAAGAGCTTTTTTAGTTGAGAAGAAGAAAATTGGATATAAAATGGGATCAGAATTACCAAACATGCAGAGGCAATGAAATATCTGTCACTCTCTCTCAATGTCACACCCCAACATGACTGCAGATTGAATGAATTGGGACACACAAATGCAAGTAGATTTTTACACACTTAAGTTATGGAATTCAATAACATTAGAAGTATATTGAACGAGAGGACATAGTTCTTTTTAAATTATTTATTATGCACTGTCGTTTATGTTTAATTTGCACTTAATGTTTTTGCTTTATTAATGTATGTATTTTGTTTCGGCATCGAATTGTGCCGACTATGTATACCGCCCTGAGTCGCCTTCGGCTGAAATGGGCAGGATAGAAATAATGTAAATAATAAATAAATAAATAAATAAATACTGATAACTTAGAAGGCTTTAAAAACCAATTATGGAGGAATTTCTTGTAGCGTACAGAAAACAAGCAATTTTTTAAAAAAAATTAATTTGGATTTATATCAATTACTTGTAATTCTGTAAATAGACAGAATCCCTAGATTTTACACAGAATTTCCTCTTCCGTACATGTGATTCTATCGTATTGGATAGAGAATTTGTCACTGTGTTTTCTCCCACCCTCCTTCTTCTCCAGCAGCTCTTCTTAAACATTACTTGTGGGTATAAAGATAAAGTTATTATTATTATTATATTATTATTTTGTGGATTTATTTTAAATTTAATTAAATTCTTAGGTATGACAAAAAGAGTTTAAAAGGGAAGGTTTTATAAAACAATAGGCTATGGTTCTTGGTTCCTATGAAAACGGAGTCAAAACAAAGCACGCAACAATCATAACCATCTGATATAAAATCTGGGAGAAGAGCAAAAGACTGTCCTCTGTATGTCCAACACATGGGCTTCCCAGAGGCATTAGGGGGTTGGTCTAAATACATGTTGGCCTGATCCACCATGAAAATGATTACATGGAAGGATTAAAATTAGCTGCAGTCAGACAACACAAGCACTCATGCACTCAAAGGCATCCCACTGATTTGCCAAAAAGAGAAGAAGCCTGCTAGGGAGAATGAGATCCAAGACGTGCATGAGTTTGGTCAAAGCTGAAGAGTTTTGCTTTCAACATAAACAGCCAGCATAAAGAGGGACTAAAGTAGAATACGATATCCTTATAGTGAAAAGCAAGCAAACAAAAAAGAGAGGCACAGAGAGGGGCAGATCAGAAAAGGGACAGGGCACCAACCATCGCAAACTCCAGGCACTGCCTCCAGCGGCACTTCTGGCGCTTCATGTTCTGCCCACCAAACTTGGGCTTGTCACAGCAGAAGTCGCAACGGCCGCAATCTGTTCTCAGTTGGCAAGCTTCACATTTACCACACTTTCGACTGCGTCGGCTTTTGGAGGCATGCTGGGAACCAGGGGAGAGGTAGAAACAGAGGGGCCAGAAGAAGAAGAAAAGATAGGCATCAAGAGCTACCATGAAGAATGTGTTATGAAACCAAGGGAGAGATTCTTCAAAAGACTGTCTTATAGGGGCCCAACATCCACACTCCCTAACCTTTGGGGATCCCAGATTAAATCCAACTGTTTGTCCTCATCGGAATAGACTGACTGAATCAATTAAACTTACCAAATTCACATTGATTAAATGGCTCTGCTCAAGCCAGGACCCACAAATGGATTAAAGCAAGGGTAATAATAATAATAATAATAATAATAATAATAATAATAATAATAATCTTTATTTATACCCCACTACCATCTCACCAAAAGGGATTCGAAGTGGCTTACACCAGGCCAAGCACAGTGATACATTACAGCAAAATAAAATATAAATAACAAAAATAACATCACAATAAAATAAATAAGGTATTCAAGTAAAATAAACAGTGCAAAATAACATAATGGAAAATCAGACACAATGGGCGGGCCAAATTCATGACATAAAATGATAAAACTGGATGAGATAGCAATGAAAAAAATGTATATTTGTGGGGAGGGAGGAGCTCGTAGGGAATGGAACAGTGGAATTAGACTTACAATAAAGTAGCGGGAACTGTAATATGAGGAAAACTGTGGGTGAAACAACAGGGCTGGAATATATATATCGTCACTCTCCAAAGGCACATCAGAAAAGCCAAGTTTTTAGATCTTTCTTAAAGGTTGCTAGGGCGGGGGCTTGCCTAATCTCACTAGGTAGCGGGTAGGGAATTGTATATTCCAGAGATACTGGTGAACTGCAATTCCCCAGCAGCCCAAAACAGGATAAGCCCTGGACTAGGATTGATGGATTATGTGATTTTAATGTTCATATTACTATGTTTTTAACTCCATGTTTTAATGTTTAAATATAGTTGTGTTTTTATGATTTAATTGATAGCTGTATATTATTATTGTGTTAGATTTCTATGTATATGAGGCATTAAATTTTTCTGTATATATGTTGGAAACCACTGAGTCTGTGCCCCCAGGAGTGAGAAAAGCAGTATACAAATGAAGAAAATAATAATAATAATGCATGGAATAAAATGATGAGAATTTTTGCAAAGTGGTTCCTAACCCCTAGAAAGATAGAATGGGAGATATTGGGGAAAGGGAGCAAAAATAAATGGTCAAAACTGTAGAAAGCTACTATGCAGCTGAAAACTTTTATAATGTGTATTATGTTTAAACCATGTTACCAAATAACTCTGGTAATATCAACTTTCCACATTAAAATGCTAATCTTTATGATGATATATTTTCTACTGCATTTTTAACAGTAGATTTGAAGGTGATGATATCAATGATAAATGGGTTGCAATTTGTATTGCAGTATATGCAGTAATCTTTATAACCACTCCACATTCTAAGATTACACAGTCAAGATCATGGTAATATTGCCATGATTGTAAAGGTAAAGGTTTTCCCCTGATCTTAAGTCCAGTCATGTCCGACTCTGGGGTGTGGTGCTCATCTCCATTTCTAAGCCGAAGAGCCTACAAGGTCAGGTGGCCGGCATGACTGCATGGAGCGCCGTCACCTTCCCGCCGGAGCAGTACCTAATGATCTGCTCCCATTTGCATGTTTTCGAACTGCTAGGTTGGCAGAAGCTGGGGCTGACAGCGGGAGCTCACGCCGCTCCCTGGATTCAAATCTGAGACCTTTCGGTCAACAAGTTCAGCAACTCAGTGCTTTAACCCACTGCACCACCGGGGGCTCCTGTAAATGCCTGCCAGCCCACTATCAGCCAGCAGAGACATCAGATGATGCTGACTAGTTCAACTGCCAATCAGGGCAAAAGGAAAATTAAGTTTCTAGCCCTGCTTCCACCAGCAAATGAGGCTGAGAGAATCAGAATTAGGATCCCTGTTGCAATTCTTTGTTGCAGGCCCACTCACTGTGAAGAGAAGGCTGGAAACATCTCTCCTTGCCCCATATGCCTCAACTAGCAGCTGAAAACGTTCCCTTTGCCAAAACAACTGCTGGCTTATTAAGTGAATTCTGGCCTATCTGTTCAAGGTCTTCTATGTGCTTATATTAGGAGAGGATGGATGATTGCCTGTCTAGAGTACAAGCAAGGGACACTGAATACCCAGCCAACTGTGTTTACTTTTTGCCAATCTTAAGACTTTTGTCTCCCAATTTTACAGCTGCTAAAGGAAATATCCGAAATTGCTCTGTGTATCCCAACGTGCTTCTTGTATTCAACCTATTCACAGTTTCTATTTCTGCCTGATCTGGCTTAAATCCAAATTGTCACTCCTACTACTGTTCAAACAGCTAGTTGTGTTATTCCTTTTCTTCATTATGTAAAGAGAGGATAGGATGGGATAGCAGAAGCCTCCATGAGAAAAGCTCCGGACTCTGTACAAGGGTTTTGAATTTGCATTGATGCAATACATGCAACACATTACCTTTCAGGCCATGAAATGTGCATTTGCAAAGCTTTAAGACAAGGCCAACAGTCGCCCACACAGATTATGTTAGTGACTAAGTCCAACCTGTACATCATGGAAAAGGGGGAGGGGGATCATACTTAGTCTTTAAATATCCTACAACATTCCTCTTCACTCTCACTTTGTTAGAATTGAATTTACTAACTGTGTCACAGATTCTAGCTTTTGGAATAATAATTTCCAAATAAGTTCTCTGCTTCTTATTATTGTATGTCTTCAAACAATATCCAACTTATGGTGACCTCAAAGTGAAGCGACCCTTAGGGTTTTTCTTTGTTCAGAAGAAATTTGCCTTTGCATCCTCAGAAACTTAGAAGGTGTGATTTGAACAATATCTGCCTATTTTCAGAACACTGGGAAAAAGTAAGATATAAATACCAGATTTGAGGAAAATAAATAAAGATATAGACAGCTGATTAGAAAGAGATGAAATACAATTGGCCCTCTGTATCCATGGATCCTGCATCCACAGATTCAACCAACCACAGCTCAAAACATTGCCCCCCCTCCCAAAATTCCAAACATCAAACACTGATTTTTGCCATAAGAGGAGCCATTTTACTATGATATTGTTCATTATATGACTTCAGCACACACAAATGTCGGGATCCAAAGGGAGCAAGGTCTTGAAGCAATGTAGTTTGGGAAGGCAAGGAGCCCTATGCCAGGGGAGAGATTTGTCCCTCCGTAGCAGCAACCAGCCAGAGTTCCAATAAATTGCTGAGTCTGCAAAGAGGAAGACTGACTGATACTTCTAGTAAGTAAATCTGTGCTGGGCTAGGAAGAAATCCCTAAATGAGTTCTGTTGGTCCATATGAGAGACATTCAATGAGATAGCTGCAGCTTAAAAAAACATTTTTGTCAAAACATCCCTAAAATCAGTAGATGTATGAATATTTCTGAAAGCTGGGGGGAATTATCCCCTGTTATCTTGTGTCATTGCATAGAAAATTCAAGAAGATAGCTCTTGTATTTTTTTAAAGTTTATAAACACTTTGAAAATTCCCCCAAACAACTGTGGATAAGTTAAACATTAATCACACAGACCTACTGGTTACCAAGTTCTTTTTACAACAGAAATACATCCACGAAGAGCTCGCAGAGAGGGGCTGCTGTAGTCACTGGTACTCCTTTCTCCCACATTTGGCTTTATGGTTTTTCCTTTTTTGGATAAATCTACTGGTTCACACCACGTGACAAAGACAATACAGGAAGTGATTCTCTCTGTTTGGGACCTGCACACCAGTTAAGATTTTTTAAAAGGCTGGGCTTCAAACCACTTGCTTGACCAGGCGGCCGAAATCACTGTTTCACTACATCCAGTACAAGCACTGTGTGACAGAGAGAAATATATTTACCACACTGTTCTTCAGTATGTCTACAGGATGCTTGCGGGGACGACCCACTTTCTTTATTTCTTTCACAACCCCCAAGGGCTTCTTCTGTTGGGAAGAAAACAATACTAGTTTGCAGGGGTCAAGGAGACACTTTGAAGTCTTTGCTGTTCCCAGAGCAAATACCCCACACTAGGGAAAAAATGATCATAGTAGACATAATATTGGAATATTCTCCCAGTGAAAGACACTTCAAGAAGTTTTTTAGATATTTTAATGAACCTGCAGCACTAATGACACAGCAATTCCTGTGCCTTTTGTTTAAAGCAAGACTAAAAGACAGCATTAAAAAGAGCTCATAAGTGATCAGTATCCTTGGTAGAAGATGCCACAAAGTGTTTTCAGATCTATGTGTAATTGACAGTCTCTGCTAAACTGAGTAACTTGGCACAATGTCCTGTGTTTGTGACCTGCCATTCATTCAGAAAGGAACTCTCCTTTTCTGGGAGCAAAGACACACAATTTAAACCACTTCAGATAAGGTACTCTTTATATTATGATGTACAACTGTCATATATGTAATACACCCTGCATACCCCATGAGACCTGTACCCACTGTGTCATCTACTCGCATCCTACAAAATATTTCTTTCTAGGAATTTTTTTTGTTCTCCAGAAGATTCTATGCTTTCACCAGAGGCCACTTTGGAGGATCCAGCAAATTCCTATAGGGCAGCGGTGCACAACATTTGGTACTCCAGGAGTTTAGGACTCCAGCTTGTTCAATGGTCAGAAATTCTGGAAACTGAAGTCCAAAACACCTGGAGGGACACAGGTTGTGCACCACTTCTTATCTTCTAACTGTATAGGAATTTTCTAGGTTCTCCTATATTATTATATCTTCCAGCAGAAATTGTATATTTCAATCATGTCCACAATTATGCACAATTTTGTTTCTGCAGTAAGGTCAAGAATGTATCTCCATGGATATGGGGTTTGTACTGTAGATAAAATCTTAACTACCATTATATCTTTCAGTCATCAACAAGTTGCTGATGAGATGCAGGTGAATTTGGGAATTACAGGATGCTCAGAGGCATGAAGCCCTTTGAATACAGTAATCCATCGGAAAATGTCTCTTTATTCATTGATATTCCCCTCTTTTACAGCTCAACTCAAATTGAAGGATCTCCCTGTCCAAGTTTGGGAACTTTACGACCTAGATGGTGAAAGGAATGAGGTATAAAATCTCAATCTGCAATCTTTCTTCCATCTTGCTGTTGTTTATTTGTTCAGTCACTTCCGACTCTTCGTGACCTCATGGGCCAGCCAATGCCAGAGCTCCCTATTGGCTGTGGCCACCCCCGGCTCCTTCAGAGTCAAGCCATCCATCCACCTTGCCCTTGGTCGGACTCTATTCCTTTTTCCTTCTATTTTCCCCAGCATCATTATCTTCTCCAAGCTTTCCTGTCTTCTCATTATGTGGCCAAAATACTTCACCTTTTCCTCTACTCTCCTTCCCTCCAATGAGCAGTCGGGCTTTTCTTTCCTGGAGTATGGACTGGTTAGATCTTCTTGTGGTCCAAGGCACTCTCAGAATTTTCCTCCAGCACCACAGTTCAAATCCGTCTATCTTCCTTCGCTCAGCCTTCCTTATGGTCCATCTCTCACATCCGTAGGTTACTATGGGGAATACTATTGCTTTGACTATGTGGATCTTCCATCTTAAACCAGTGCTTTATTGTATCTTTGGCTCAGTAACTTGTTCCTCTTCAAGAGGTCAAAATCAATTGGGAATTGCATTTAATAATTATGATATAGTCTAAAATGAAATTAATTAGCAAACCTTTATTAGCTTGAACAGAAATAACTTCAGCTGAACTGGAACAGAACCAAATATTTCAGCCCTGATCCAATGGAAAGACAAGAGAAATGAGATGAGTCTCTGGCTGTATTTCCTTCACTGAAAATTTTTGAACACCAGCAACCATTTTGGTTGTATAAGAAGTTTGCAAAGGAGGTGTTTACTGACACCTTTGTGAGATAAACCAATACATAACCAATACCTTTAAGTTCCTTTCCCATTCTGTTGCCTACTTACCCTATGCTTCACAATAGGGATATCTCCTTTGTCCAGTTCCATGCTGGATTTCAATTTCTAGGGTGAAGAAGACATATGGGTGGTGGAGTTATCAAATAGAAAGTAAACTAGATGAATTTGGACACAAAACACTCCCATAATACATCAAAGCAAGATACTATAGGCAGCCATGGGGGGAAACATAAAAATTAAGGCAGAGTTAGTCTTTAAAGTGCTACAAGACAACTACTTTGAAAACTGGCATTCTTTTTTATAAATAATTTCTTATTCAAAAGAAAAAAAACATAAGTAAATAATTCATTAACACAAAAATAATTTTATAATGTTAAAACTATACAGCTAAATTATTAGCTACTACAATTAAAAAACTAAATCATGACTCAAATACACAAGCAAAACACACACCTACATAGTCATACACACACAAACTTCACCAACAAATGAACGAACAGATGAGTCAATTCTACAACTCACTATCTGATCTCATTATCTACACAGAGAAGCTATTGAAATCCATAAGCATGTGGACAATTTCAACACAAAGGAGGAAACCATGAAAGTGAACAAAATCTGGCTACCGATATTTAAAAACTCTACAATCAGGACAGTAAATAAAGAACAACACTCGGAAAATAGGGGAATTACAGTCAGGAAACCATCAGGGCCAGTTAACACCTCCCAACAAAGGATCTCCAGGCAGGAATCAGCCAGGCTTTGAAGCTGAAATGCTATTCAATGATAATCAAGCTGGTCAATTGCATCATTCACACTTTCCCGCCCATTGCTTGAAAATGTACAAAAATGTTACATCTATGCTGACAGAAAAAGTCCTTGAAGTTATGTAACTGGAAGAAAATTCCATTAAGCAGCTAGTTTTCCATATATTTGGGTCACAAGACTTCTTGGAGTTTATAGTTTGCTTTGAAAATACATTTGATGCATCATCTCAGGCTCACTGACACATTAAGTTCTCCTCTCCTAACTAAACACTCCAATCACCAGAAAGAGGAGCCTAACAGGCAATAAGCCAGTCATCATCTGGATTCAGATTCTAAAGTTAGATTTAAATGATCGAGCTGGAGGCTGGATTCACAAATACAAACCTATATGGGGAGAAATCAATAAAGTCTGTTTTTGTTGGCCTGCACACGCATACAGGCAAAAAGGAGTAGAACACAGTCATGTTTACAGCCAGGGAAAAGTTCATCTCCTTTTTTGACAAAACCAGAAAAAGACATGTGCAAACATAACCTCAACTCAAATTGTTGTTGTTTGCCTTTGTGTCACTTCTGACTTATGCCAACCCACAGGTGAATCGATAATTGGGTTTCCATCTCAAAATTTGTTCAGATGTTTTTCCTTTGCCTTTGCTGCTGAGAGAGTGTGAGTTATCTAAGACCATGCTGTGGGTTTCCATGGCTGAGCGGGGATTGGAACCCTTGTCTCCAGAATTGTAGTCCAATGCTTAAACCACCACAACACACTCTCTCCCAACTTTCAGACTTTCATTTAAGCTTTGGAGGAGAGCTCTTACGGGTATCATGACTTGACAACAAAACAAATACATGGGTTCTAAAAAAAAAAATCAGATCTGAACTCTGCCTAGAAGCTAGAAGTACCAAACCAAAAACTATCGTATTTGGTTATATCATTAGATAACATGACTCACTGAAAACAAATGTTTGATAAAACGCAAGGCAATAGGAAACCTGCATTACAGGTGACTTGACGAGTTTTTTTTTTTTAAACCCATAGCACCAAGTATGCAGGACCCAAGAAGAACTGGTGATGACAGGCTGCCTTTTAAGGTCCCCTATTCATAGGGCACTCATAAGTCAAAGATGACTTAATGAGTATCAGCAGCACAACATATTTTGTCCATATGTAGTAAGTGTATGAATAATGCAGGTCTCTAGGCTTTGCTGGATTGTAACTCCCAGCAGCCCTTGCCAACACTGCCAGTGGTGAGAAATGCTAGGAGCTGAAGTCTGAGAACTGTTAGTGGCTTGTGTAATTCCCACCTTTGACACAAGAGTATAAGTCGTCCTGCCCATCTTGCTTCAAAGACAGTACCCAACCATACAAACAGCCTTGTGGAAACAAGTATATAAGCCACTCACTGTAGTAGGAGAGCGCTTCCGGCGACGGCAGCCTGAGACCTGCTGGGCCTTAAGAGGGGCCCCATCCTGACAGCCAAAGAAATGAAGGAAGGAAAAGAAGTGAAAGAAGGAAAGAAGTCCATATGGTGCCAGATACGAGAAAGGGAAAGCCAGAGTATGCACACAAGAAGGAAGGAAACATTAAAAATAAGAATGAGTTCAGATATTTCAATTAGGTTTGCATAAAACAGAAGGGAAACTGATCCAGAAAAACAAATTCAAGAAATGTAGCTAAGCTGCATCTTGTATTGGTCTCCCTCCATTCAAGAGACCTCCAAGTGTAGTGAAATATAGCTTCCAGCATCCAAACCATGATGGATAATGTCCATGATGACTGTGGATGATGGGGATTATGGTTCCTCACATCTGGAGGGTGTCAAGTGAGGGAAAATTGAGGTAAGCAACAGAAAAGCCGAGACTACTGCAATTTACCACTTGACAACACTTTAAGAATCCAGCATGGCTATTGGGAGATGAAGGACAAAGAAGTAACTCCAACCAAGTCTGGAAATTATTGTAAAAGGACAGAAACACAATCCTGCTAGAACTCTGTGTATTTGTAAAATGCTCTCTGGCTCAAAGTTACTCTTTACCCATTCCTGACCCTTTTTGGACATTCAAAGCCATCTCTATTAACTGTAGTGATTTTCAAATCTCCATTAGTTCTCAATCCCATACTATTCTATCATTCTAGGCTGCAACATTGAAATACAATATGACAATAATGAGAAAATAAGCCTATTGCAGTGCAGCAAACTGTCTTTGTTCAAGTTCTCTCCCTCTATCTCTCTCTCTTTCCAAAATGGCTTTCTGGTTTTTACCAACCATAACCTGAGAGTGGCCCTAGATTTCTCCCAGACTTTCCAGTTCACCCAGTTATATAAGAACATTCCAGGAGCTAAAAAGGGAAAGATATATTTACTATAACATGCAGCAGACTCCTTTTTTTCTACTCTAAATTTTTCTTACAGCACACAAGACTGGCTATGCTTTCTCTCTAATTCAGGATGGGTACCCCCAGATGTTGTTTGACCTACAAGTCCAATCACCCCTACCCAACAAACCTATGGTGAGCGGAAAGAGAGCTGTAGTTCAGCAACATCTGCTCTGATTCATTCACTTGGAGCATGCCATAGCTCAAACCTTTAGAGATTGGATGGAATCACCTTAAAGGGTGTCCTCGTCAGTGGCTTCTTACCACTCTCAGTTATGACCAGCCAACTAACAAAAGATTCCATCATTGAAGTAAAAGGCAGGAGCCCAGGCAAGCCAAAGCTGATGGTTTGCTCAGTAACTTCCTTTGGTATAACTCAGAAATGTAACTCAAGACTTCTCCCTTCTTTACTTGATACCCCCCACTCACGGTGGACTCTGGTGGTGGCTCTGTTGCTAATAGCTTCTTGTGCCGTTGTTTTCGAACCTGCTGGGCCTTCCGGAAAGGCCCATCCTGGCAAGTAGGAATGAAGGAGAAGGAAGAGGGAAAGACAAATGAAGAAGTCAAGAAACGCAAAGCTAAGAGAGCAGCAAAAATGTCTCCAACACCAGGCATATAATACCGAAAGGTTATTTTCTTTCTGCAATTCTTAGATTTATGAGTCTGTGTATCAGGAGAAAGGCAGGATAAAAATAAAGTAAATAAATAAAAAGAAACAAATATATTCCATCATTCTCCAGGAAGCCTGGTGAGCCAAACCATGTGATCTCAGGGACTCTGCAGACTGACACAACACATCTGATCCAACGTCAACTTAACAGCCAGGCAGGCATTCTCAAGCCCAGGATTTCCTGGCCCAGATAGTATGCAAGTTCTAATTGTCCACAGTCCTCATTCCAAATAATTAAATTCCTTCAGTTTCACAAACCGATCACCAGGACACCTATGCTCATTCTCTCTCCTTACACACTATATTTGGTGAGAGGAATGTGAAGGAAATAACGCAAGTTCCTTTAGATGGGTTGTATGTACAGATGGTTGCCCCATGCTGGATGGCATGCAGAAGTGGAACCACTCACTGTTGCCGATGTGGCCTTCTTTTGCTGACGCCGGACAGGAGTAGAAGCATCTTTGGAAGAGACTGCTTCCTGGTGCCAATTGGGAAAGAGCCACAAAAGGCCATTAGGCAGAGTGCTTCCTAGTGCAGCAACTGAGAATGAAACTGCACACTGACGACAGACACCACGGGACCTACCCAGAACACCCATGGATGCAGAGTGAAGTATATGTGTGGCCACTAGCCCATCCCATTGCCAACCATACACATCATCCCACAAGGTCATCACCAATGGAATAATCAACAGGCCAACGCGTGGCTGTTAGGGAAAAGGGGGTTCCCCACATCATACTTTTTATTGCCAGGATGTAGAACAGTGTTTCACAACCTTCCTAATGCTGCAACTCCTTAATACAGTTCCTCATGTTGTGGTAACCCCCAAATGAAAAAAATATTTTTGTTGCTACTCCATAACTGTAATTTTGCTACTGTTATGAATTGTAATGTAAATATCTGATATGCAGGATGTGTTTTCATTCACTGGATCAAATTTGACACAGGAGAAAATAGACTTTGTCATTTGGGAGTTGTAGTTGCTGGGATTTATAGTTCACCTATTATCAATGAGGATTCTGAACCCCACCAACAAGTTCCCACACAGAGCCCCCATGCCTTGCAGAGACTCGCTGATGCGAGCCTCCCTCCAGCCTCACATGCTCTCCCTCACTTGCACATGCACATGCACACCATGCTGCCATATGCTGAGCATGCCTGCTCTCCCCTCCCCACTTGGGAGTCTCAGAAATAGCCTTCCCGTTGGCTGGGAGACCAGCCAAGAGGGTGGCAAATCACAGTGGAGGAAGGCTTTTGGTGGGAGGATTCACCATCTGTTTCCAAAAAGGAAGAGAAGAACAGGTGGAGAGACCTTCACCCTTCTCTGCCAAAAGGGTTTCTAAGACCATCAGAAATAAGTGTTTCCTGATTGTCTTTGGCAACCCCTCTGAAACCCCCGTGTGACCCCTCCCCCAGGGGTCCTGACTCCCAGGTTGAAAAATGCTGCTGTAGAAGAACGTATGTCTTTCTATACACAATAGGTGAATAAATAAGAGGGAAAACATGCTGGCAGTAAAAATAAAAGAATTATTCAACAACAAAGATGTCTGGTAGAGATGGGTAAGAAGAAATGGGAAGACGGAGCAGAACTACTACATAAGACTGGAATAGAATGGAGTTCACTGGGAGCTGCTAAGATGAGAAAAAAATCTCATAACAGAAACTTACCGTTGTCAGCTTCTTGGAGATGTAGCCAACTTTCTTTGGGGATATTCTTTTCTGTAAGGGAAAAAAATCCAGTTAGTGACAGAATTACAGACACCACCTGTGAATCTTTAGAAATCTCAACCAACACATGTCTAGGGAAACTGTGCAGTACAGGAAGAGCATGCCAGGGAAATTATTTCTCTGATGTGAACTAAAATTTGTTTCAGGAAAAGGGTGGTTGAGGAGAGGGATAGGCATCCTTTTAGTTGTGTATTTGTAGTTGTGTACTACAAAATCCAAAGCTGACATCACACCAGGTAAAACTGAATCCTCCAACATCAAAAAACACAAGTATCATTCAGGATATCCTGATCACAGATTAGAACAATGAGGTAAATAAGGGACTCATGTCCCACCTGAAACTACTGAAATTTCTCCTTGAGGCTGCAGTTCTACAGTTACAATTATTTATTACTTGTTTATTTAATTTGTATGCCACCTTTCTCCCAGATTGTGACTCAAGGTGGCTCTCAGAGACAATCAATTAAACACATTCACAAAAAAACTAAAAACAATTAAAACCACTACAGAAAACAATATAAAATCATTTTTAAAACAACCTAATTGTAAAAAGATAAATAAAGCATCCCTATAAAAAGCTCCCCTGCATATGTATTAAAAAGTTTCTTAAACAAAAATATCTTAATCTAAGATTGATTTGGAAATAAATTGCACTGAATTACATGCAACTTAATTAAGACTATACACATACAAAATTATGCTGCCAACCTCTTCTCCAGCTTTTTAAATTACAGAATTTAAATTCCCCATACTTGGAAATTGTTAGATAGAAATAGCACAGCATTTCTAATCACAAAAAAACTGTTTGATAAACATGTGGTATATTGATAGCACCTGGGTAGTGACTGTGAATGTCATGATGTAATATCTAAGGGTGTGTGGTAATAGTCGAGTCATAATAATAATAATAATAATAATAATAATAATAATAATATACTTTATTTATATTTTGCTCTATTTCCCCTAAGGGACTCAGGGCAAATTACAGAATTCAAATACGGCAAACATTCAATGCCGTTATACAATTAACAAGGACAGGCAATACATAAACAGAGGTATAGGCTTTCCCATCTAACCATGTGAGGGTTATTGCAAAGGGGTTGCATCATCCAGTGTCCCCTACTGATAACTTATCAGCAGGTGGCTATATAAGAAGGCTGAAAAAATCCATCTTTCTCTCTCCTGTGTGATTCGGTGTGAGTATCTGCCTATGCTGTACATGAATATTTGATGAATCTGAATGTTTGCAATGAAAAGCTGAAAATGGATCTGCAAATCCTGTTTGTACATTTTGTAAATATTGAGATGGTTAAGATTAAGGCCTCCAGATATTTTGGATGAAAACTTAAGTCTGTGTTTTTACTAAACAGTATGTGTAGATAGTCAGATGATGGCAGTTAGAATCTGCTAATGGACATGCTGAAGCATGTTTGCACTGTGAAAGGACTTTGCTGTATTTTGCTTGCTTCTGGGGCACTTGCTATCCAGCTTGCAGCAGTTGAGGGAGGTTGTGATTTGGAAACTACAAATCACTTCATGTACCAGCATCCCACAACAGAAAGATAATTTGCCATAAAACAACAAACTTGTGCCATTGTAGACAGAGTAGATGGGTTGGGACATATTTTATGTTCTCCCAGAGCAGGCTAAACTTTCAACTTTGTCTACTCTATACAGAGATTGGGATGGATCCTGATCCTTTCTGATAAGAATCAAGATAAAGTACTTGCACCGATTCTTGGATAAGTCGATACAGAGTTTTGAGTATATATTTTTACAAATACCAAGTATAAATAATATTTCTGCCCTGGACATAGCAGGAATCCACCACTAAAGTATCCCCAGCAGACAGACAGAATCTTACATTTTCTAAAACTGAAAAGTGCATTTTTCATTTAACTGGATTCTATTCTAAGCACATTGGATATTTTTCTACCTGCCCCTTCCTCACTATGTAACCCCACAGTGAAGAATGATGAGTTGCATCCTGGCATTAATAAGCAGATATGGGAGGGGGCCAATCAGTTCTATGGCTTATCCTCAGAAAACAGATCCATAGATGTTCACTTTGAAAGTATACCTCAATCTGAGGTTAACACAGACCAAATCCATGCAAATCTCAACTATGAAAGCCTTAAAAATACCTTAAATATAGGAGTTTAAAGTCCGTCAATTGGACTTCACCAATTTCACTGGTATTTTCTGCTTCTTTACCCAATTCACCCCCTCCACAAACTTTGCAGCATTAAATTTGGCGGCATAATCTGCTATATGTATTCCTTTCCAGTGCTGCTTTTTCTTTGCCAGATTCCCTGTCACCATCCCACCCTAATAGTTCAAGAATCTGTATGTTTGGGGCCTTTTGGTTTGTCTTTTGAGTGCTATTTTCAGCCTGAAAAAAAGGACTGGCTGCATCTGTTTTCTCTTCTGCAGACAGGCTGTTTCTCTGCTCTGGCAGAGAAGCAGCAA